GTTATAAATAATAAGATTTGTTATATTATCAACATTAAAACAAAAAAAAACGCTGCAACTTGTTTATCTATCAACTTCCCCAAATAAATTCTTGGTGTTGGACCTCATGGAATTACACTCATACCAGAAATTCTATTTTCAGGTTCGTCGTGAGTGGCACAAGTAATTTGCATTTTTAAAATGAGCAGCAAGAACTTGTATTTTTTAGGTCGAACTCAGTATATGATCAAAAAAGAGCTTTCAAACTTTTGGTTGATTAAATCAGAAAGTCCAAGCATAAGCTCAAAAAAATAAAACTGAAAAAGTGAAGAAAAAAATATGCGGGGCGGGGTGAGGCGGGTGGATGCGGGCGGGTGTATGCAGGTGCAATTGTTATACGGGGCAGAGCGGGTTAAAATCTTCACGGATTTATGCGGGTTTGCCCCGCAACCGCACCGTACCGTTTGCCATCCCTAATCTAATAGTTTACATAGGGGTTCATTTGGATATACAAATTTTATGCTTAAACCTTAATTTGTCTGTATAAATCTATTGAAATTGTTAAAAATATTAAACTAAGAACTTAAAACTTGACAAAATGATTAGTTTAATGGTTCGAATCTGAATCATAAATATATAAAATTAATATTATGAATCTTCCTTGTGTATATGGTGTATTCAACCGACTCCTATAATACATTGGCTATCATGTTGTAGATACTAATTAACCGATATTTCTTGCTTACCAATCTGCGAAAAAGCTGTTATAGCCTTTTACTCTGACCAATTTCTAAAAATTAGAAGAGTAAATTTCAAATAGAGTTATATAAATTTTTTATTTTATTAAATAAATTTAAGATCTCCTACTACAATTTTGCTTTAATCTACCATTCTATTGATCACATTGGTACTTGTCTAGTCTTGACCACGATCCCTGGTAGGAAAAGAACGTCATGACCCGATTCAATTAAGAGGGCAATGGTTTCCAATTTAGGAGTTTAGTGCAAGTAGTAATTAGTGGAGAAGATGTTGGAGTTACCTGATGTTAGTTATTAGATTTGGGCCTGATGTTAGTTAGTTCATTAAGATTTGGCCCAGTTGTATTTATTAACAGACCCGGCCCAATTTTCTCTCTTAGTTGATTTTCTTTCTGGCCCAATGTGAATAGTAGTTTAGATATTCTTTTGTAATAACTCTTCAGAAGGAATAACGAAAAATTCTCTTGAAGCTTCTTCTTTGAACATGAACCCTAGTTTCATTCTTCTCCATTTTCGTTCAATTTACAAACATTAACATGGTATCAGAGCGGGATTGTGATTACTCTAATCACACGCTTTCGATCGATCCTACCCTTGTCAGTTGATTCAAAGTTTTTCTCCTCCATCTATCATCTCTAATTTGTGTTCGGTGATCGTTTTTCTAGAGATCGATTTTTTTGTTGATTTTCCTTGATTTCTGCGGAGTTTCGGCTATTCGTCGTGGACATTTTTGAGCTCGGAGCAGTTGTTTGATTCCTCCTTCTAGGATCTATTATTTTCGATTCACTGAAGAAAGTCGGTAACTCTAATTTCATTTTTTTGAAATTGCATGTTCAATTTGCTTAATTGACTTGTTTGCCTATACAATTTTAGTGTTAATATGGTGTATTCTGAAATTCCTCTTGCTACTAATACTAGTACAACCACCATATATGCACCAGACCCTTCTAGCCCTCTTTTCATTCACTCTTCTGATATTCCTGGAACTTGTTTAGTCAGTACTCCATTTAACGGGTCTGGTTATGGAGGATGGAAAAGGAGTATGACAGTTTCTTTATCGGCTAAGAACAAAATAGGTTTTGTGGATGAATCATGTCCTAAGCCAATGGCTAATGAGAATCCGGCGATGATTCGTCAATGGGACAGATGCAACAATATGGTTATTTCTTGCTTAACTAGCTCTCTTTCACCAACTATTGCTGAAAGTGTACAATACTCGGAGACAGCTGAAAGTATTTGGAAGCAGTTAGAACGTAGGTATGGGACTGTAAATGGAACTAAAATTTTTGAGATAAAAAGGGAATTAGCTTCTACTCAGCAAGGTTCTCTTGATGTTGCTTCATATTTTAACAAATTAAAGAAGCTTTGGGATGAACTTGGAACAATGCGCAAAAATCATGGAAATTCTTACACTTGTGCTGCAAAGCCTGGCATTCAGAGGGATGAAGAAGAGGACAAGTTACACCAGTTCCTTATGGGATTAAATGAGGTGTATGTGGGTGTAAGGAGTAACCTACTGATAATGCAACCTCCTCCTTCATTGGACAGTGCTTACAACTTCTTCATGATGAGGGTCAAAGACAAGTTCAATTCAATCCACAGCTAATACCAGAATCAGCATCTTTCAATGCTAATGTGAATGTCAAACAACAGTTTCCAATCAAACAATACAATCAAAAGATAGATTTTGATCATTCAAAAGGAAGTATGTTTTGCAAGTATTGCAAAAAACCTGGACATCTAATTGAGAAATGCTACAAACTCCATGGGTTCCCATAGAATTTTAAGTTCACCAGAGGAAGAAGCTGGCTGCAATAGTATCTGCTGAATCTGCTCAATTTCAGCCATGCACAAGAAGCCATATCTCAGCTCAATCTACTCACAATGTTCCTCTAGTTGGACCTGCTCATGTATCTGATGATAAGGTCTCCTCCATACCTGGTTTGAGTCAGCAACATTTTTTTCAACTTGTCTCCCTGCTGCAGCAAACTCAAATTTGTCATGCTCCTGAGCCTCAACCAAATCTGATGGGATCTGATAACTTTGCTGGTAGTTTTCTTTCCTTGCTTGTTTATACTGATGATGATTCTCATGCTTGCATGTTGTCCAGTGTAAGTAGGGATGTGTGGATTATAGATAGAGGAGATACTGATCATATGACTTCTAACAAAGAACTTCTTTCTAATCTGACTCCACTTCCTACTCCTTACTTGGTAACTTCGCCTAATGGTTATAAGGCAAAGGTTATTTGTATTGGTTCCTATAGTTTACTTCCTTCTCTCACTCTTCATCATGTCCTGTACATTCTTTTTTTTCAATATAATCTGATTTCTGTACACAAGCTTATTCAATAATGTCACTGTCTTGTCTTGGTTACCTCTATATCATGTATTTTGATACAGGACCTTTCCATGAGGAAGCTTCTCGAACTTGGTAAAGTGGACCATGGACACTACAAGATTCTTCATGATCATCAACCCAATGCAACATCTAACTTTCCTGCTTCTGTTTTTAGAAATAATGTGCAAGATGTTTCTTTTTCTGACCAGTCTAGTAAGATTGCACATAATAAGGCTGCTTTGCATACTATTCCTGTTGTTCCTTGTAATGATAATCAGAGCATAAATAAAAATAATGTTCTTTGGCATCACAGATTAGGACATATTCCATTTTCTACAATGAAAACCATCCCTTCTATTTCTGCTGAATTATCTGCCAAACAATCCTTTATATGTCATGTTTGTCCTCTTGCTAGGCAGGCAAGATTACCTTTTCCAGCTAGTTCTACTATTTCTACTTCCTTGTTTGAGTTGATTCATGTTGACACATTGGGACCCTATCATACTCAGACTTATTCTGGAGCAAAATACTTTCTTACCATTGTGGATGACCATAGTAGAGCTACTTGGACTCACTTGTTACATACTAAAATTAATGCTTTTACCATGTTGAAAGCTTTCATTTCCATGGTGAGAACTCAATTTAACCTCCCTGTTAAAACGGTTAGAAGTGATAATGCCTTAGAAATTTGACTTTCCAATTCTGCCTTACAATACTTCTCAGATAATATAATTATTCATCAAACCACTTGTTCTCACACACCTCAACAGAATGGAATTGTTGAGAGAAAACATAAGCACTTGCTTGAAACAGCTAGAGCTTTGATGTACCGGTCTAAATTACCAACAAAATTTTTGGGAGACTGCATTTTAACAGCCACCTATTTGATAAACAGATTTCCCTCCACCATTTTACATAACAAATCTCCATTTGAAGTGTTTTATGGTAAGTTGCTCTCTTATTCACATCTTAAACCTTTTGGGTGTCTTTGTTATGCAACTGTACCTAAATGTGAGAGAAATAAGTTTGATCCAAGAGTTGTACCTTGTGTCTTTATTGGTTATCCATTTGCTAAGAAAGTTTATAAGTTGTACAATTTATCCACAAAGTGTATCCTTGTTTCTAGGGATGTCATATTTCATGAATCTATTTTTCCTTTTATGTTATCCTCTTCCTCATCTTCCAGCTACCTTCCATCTTCCACTTCTACACCTATTTCACCTGTTGGTTCTGATCTTTCCCATTTTCCTCCTGTTGACACAAATTCTTCCCATTCTCCTTCTGTTGATACATCTTCTCCTGATAATCCACCTTCTGTTGCTGTTCCTTCCTCCTCTATACCTTCTGTTTCTTCTCCTAATATAGTCATTCCTTCTGATCTTCCCTCTACTTCTGCTCCTTCAACATCTTCCTCTCTCCCTGCTACTAGAAAAAGCACCAGAAATCACACATTACCTTCACATCTTAGTGACTTTGTTGTCCAGCTTCCTCCTTCCATTTCAAGCTCCACTACTTTATCTCTCTCTGCTGCACACACAACTCAAGTTGAGCCTCATTCATATTCTCAGGAAGCTACCAGTTTAGTCTGGCAGGAAGCCATGAGAAAAGAGTTTGAGGCCTTAGAAGCTAATAACACTTGGTCTATAGTTGAGTTACCTAAGGGTAAGAAGCCTATTGGATGTAAATGGGTGTATAAAATTAAGTACAAGGCTTATGGGAGTGTAGAAAGATATAAGACAAGATTGGTAGTAAGGGGTGATACACAAATTGAAGGTATTGATTTTAATGAAACATTTTCTCCGGTTGTCAAAATGTGTACTATTAGGTGTCTAGTTGCTTTTGCCTTAAAAAAGGGTGGTCCTTGTATCAGCTGGATGTGAATAATGCATTCCTTCATGGGGACTTAGATGAGGAAATATATATATGAAGCTTCCCCAAGGTCTCACAGTTGCTTCATCTTCTGCTTCATCTTCTAAATTTACTTCTCCTTTGGTTTGTAAGTTGCAAAAGTCCCTTTATGGCTTAAAACAAGCCTCTAGGCAATGGTATGCTAAGTTGTCACAAGCACTTTACGCTAGAGGTTACACACATTCTTTAAATGATTACTCTCTTTTCATCAAAAGGTCCGATTCATCTACTGTGTTTCTTGCTATCTATGTGGATGATATTATCCTTACTGGGGATGATCCTAAAGAGATCAATGCTCTCAAAATATTTTTAGATGATCAGTTTAAAATTAAAGACTTAGGATTACTTAACTATTTTCTGGGAATTGAGTTGTTATATGTTGATTTTGGGGTACTTCTTCATCAAAGAAAATTTGTTTCGGAGTTAGTTGCTGAATATGGCTGTTCTGATGCTTCTGCTGTTTCTTCCCCACTTGAGTTATGTGTTAAACTCAAGTCTGATGTTGGGGTCTTGCTGCCCAACCCTGAGTCTTATAGAAGTTTAGTTGGAAAATTGAATTTCCTCACTCATACTAGGCCGGATTTATGTTTTGCTGTGCAACACTTGAGTCAACTTCTTAAATCACCTCGTCTGCCCCATATGACTGCTGCATTACATGTTCTAAGGTATTTGAAAGGTACACCTGATGTTGGAGTTCACCTCAATGGTTCTTCTGATTTTTCTGTACAAGCCTTTTGTGACAGTGATTGGGCTTCTTGTTCTGATTCGCGGAGATCAGTTTCTGGTTATTGTGTGTTTTTAGGGGGTAGTTTGATTAGCTGGAAATCTAAGAAACAAGCCGTCGTCTGCTTGTCTTCTGCTGAAGCAGAATACCGGGCCATGAGTAAAGTGGTGGCCGAACTGGTCTGGTTGGTTCGTTTGTTAGCAGATTTGGGTATGCCTTTGTCCAGCTCTATTCCTGTTTTCTGTGATAGCTTGGCTGCCCTTCACATCGCTAAAAATCCTGTTTTCTATGAGCGCACGAAACATATTGAAGTTGATTATCACTTCATCCGCACTAAGTTGGCAGATGGCCTTATTTCTTTACATCATGTTCCTACCTCTTCTCAGCTTGCTGACATCTTTACTAAGTGTTTGACAGGTGCACATCACAGGTTATTGCTTGGCAAGTTGGGCGTGTTACCACCCTCCAACTTGGGAGGGGGGTGGATTTGGGCCTGATGTTAGTTAGTTCATTAAGATTTGGCCCAGTTGTATTTATTAACAGACCCGGCCCAATTTTCTCTCTTAGTTGATTTTCTTTATGGCCCAATGTAAATAGTAGTTCAGATATTCTTTTGTAATAACTCTTTAGAAGGAATAACGAAAAATTCTCTGGAAGCTTCTTCTTTGAACATGAACCCTAGTTTCATTCTTCTCCATTTTTGTTCAATTTACAAACATTAACAGAAGGACATATTCTTATTTAATATGTATTCCAATCCAATAAATACGTAATACAAATAAGTAACATACTTAGTGTGATCTCACAAGTGAGGTCTGAGGAGGGTGGGGTATACAAAGACTTTACTCTTATATTGTGTATGATAGAGAGGTTATTTCCAATAAACCCTCGGCTAAAAAAATATTTTCAAAACAACTTTAAGAAATTAAAAAGTAAGAAAATTGTTTCCAATGAATATGTAATACAGTCAACTCTCTATAACAGTCTCGTTTGTTCCGATATTTTTTTGCTTTTATAGTAAACTGGTCAAGTTGTTCGCGCTTCGCGCGGTCATAAAAGAATAATTAATGAATATTTGCCTCCTCCCTCAAAGCTTTTCATGACAATATTATGAGTTCTTATAGTTAAACATGTACTTACTCGCTCTTCTTTCCTCTCTCTAAAATTTATTGGCATTTTCTATTAAAACTTTCCGATGAGCACAAATCATATAATTCACCAGATATAAGAGAACTCTTGCAATGTGGAAAAAGATACTAATATTATTCCATATCTCATCTCAAATAAAATATATGTTTATAAGCAAGGTTTATCAACAGACATCGTAAGTCAAAGAAGAGGTCAAGATTCTTAAACCACAATAAATAAATAAATAATCCATGGAGTAAAGTGGAACAACTATGTACTACTGCAATGTACAGATGGAACAAAATTAAGTAGCTCTATTTGTCCCCATCCATTTCCATATCTCCTCTTCTCAATAAATCTGCTTTAAACACAACGTGTTGTATTACGCAAACACATAAATAATCCCTAAAACTGAGAAATCATAAAGTTATTTCCTAATTGTTTTTAAATCATAAAATTTCTTAGATGATTCTTGATAACTTATTATAACTGACATGCACGAAGGGAAGATTCCATTCAAAACTATCTCTGTTAAAATATGATAGACCAATATTTTCCAGAATTTTCATAATCTTCCCAAATAATAAAGGTTTTATGAGAAGATCTCCCAATATTTAATAATTATGGAGATACTCAATAAAAACTTTACCTTTTCTTCACAAGACTCCCCAATCTCATTTACCAACTCAATGGTAAATTTGATTTCTTCAAAGCAACTCATCAAAGTTAACTCTATGATATTTTCGACCTCTTTGGACGTTGAATAAATACTTCAAGTTGGCTGCCAAAACACAGTAATAATAGGAGATAAAGCAATATCATAGTTCGAAACGTAAATATTCTCAACATAATATGAATTAATTGTTGGGAAAAATAATATCCCACCCAGGAATAATATCCACAAAAAATAACAATAAAACAAGAGAGTAACAACGACACCAAATATTTTAACGGGGTAAAATACAATATCCGAGCGGAGCAATATTACCACTATGATATTACAACTTAATAGTGTCAAAAGACTACTACAACTTCAAAAGGAATAACACTTTTTATTTTAAACACCTCACTATAATATTATTACCATTCATTATTATCTCACAGACAACAATCTGTGGATTACTCTCACTGCTTTCTGCTTCTCTCGTTTTGGTCCGTTTGAATGAACGAACAATGCTCCTATTTATAGGAGTGAATGACCGCCCATTGAACCAATCAGGAGATTGGATTTCATATGCAAGTTGCATATTGAAATTTGCAATTCTAAAACCAAATCTGTTACAAAACCAAGATCCGCCTACCTTGCCTTTTATTTAGCCAATAATATTTTTTTCTTTATATATTTTTTTTGTTTCTTTTATTCAGGGACCCCACAATTCTCTTCCTTGATTTTGAATTTTCTTCTTTACTCCAAGACTTGATCTCAATCTCTGAAAATTTTCAAACTTGAGATGTTTTGTAAAAATATCCGCAGCTTAATCATGAGACTTCACATATTTGAGCTAGACTTCCTTCTTGACAATGCATTCTCTAATGAAGTGATACTTGTATCTATATGCTTACTTCGGTCATGATACACCGGATTCTTAGCAAGCGCCTGTGCAGATTTGTTGTCAATACAAATCTCCGTAGCTTCAATTTGTGGCAAATTGAGCGCCTTCAATAATCTTCTCAGCCAAATAGCATGACAGGTACAAGATGTTGCTGCTGTATATTCAGCTTCACAAATCGAGAGAGTAACAATTGATTGTTTCTTTGAACTCCAAGAAATAACAGAATCACCCAAGAAAAATACAAAACCAGTTGTACTTTTTCTATCATCAATATCTCTTGCATAATCACTATCGCAGAATCCCTAAAGATTGAAATCATTAGAAGAAGAATAAAATAACCCAAAGTCAATCGTACCTTTTAGGTAACGAAGAATTCTTCTAATGACTTCAAATGAGTGGAGGTAGGAGCTTCCATGAAACGGCTCACTACTCCAACTGCAAAGAGTATATCTGGTCTGGTACAAGTCAAGTACCTCAAACTTCCCACAAGACTTTTAAAAACTGTGGGATCCACTTTTTCTCCTTCATCAAACTTGGACAATTTTGTCCCACTTTCCATCGGTATATTCACGGGGTTGCAATCGAGCATGTTGAACTTCTTCAATATCTCTTTTGTATAGCTTTCTTGAGAGATAAAAATTCCATCCTCCATCTGCTTTACTTCTAGGCCCAAGTAATATGATATGAGCCCTACGTCTGTCATCTCGAACTCGCGAGACATATCTTTCTTAAAAGCTTCAAACAAACTTGGGTTATTGCCCGTGAAAATAAGATCATCAACATAAAGACAAACAAGTAAGATATCTCCATTAGTATGAACTTTAAGGTAAAGAGCGTATTCATGGAGACAACGAGTAAACCCATTGTCTTGAAAATATTTGTCGATGCAACTATTCCATGCTCGTGGGGCTGCTTTAATTCATATAAAGCTTTCTTCAACCGCAACACTTTATCTTCATGGTTTTTGACCACGAAGCCCAATGGTTGTTCAACATAGACTTCTTCTTCAAAATAGCCATTCAAGAAGGCTGACTTGACATCTAGTTGATGGATCTTCACTTCATTTGCGCCGCCAAAGAGATCAGCAAACGAATCGTCTCCATGTGGGCAACAGGTGCATAGACTTCTTCATAGTCAATGCCTTGCCTTTGCTTGTAGCCTTTAGCCACAAGTCGTGCCTTGTATCTCTACACATCTCCATCAGCATTCTTCTTTGTCTTGTATACCTATTTCACTCCAATTACTCGATGACCCTTGGGAAGAGTTGTTAACTCCCAAGTATTGTTCTTCTCTACTGACTCAATCTCCTCCTCCATGGCTTGTCTCCACCTTTTGTTTGTAACAGCTTCATCAAAGTTTATTGGTTCATTGTCAGCAAAGAGACAACATAAAAAACCAAAATTAGTAACTTCTTCTGTGCCCTCATAGAGCTCTTGAATACTCCTTGTCCTTTGCGGCTATTCATTTGAACTTTCTTGAGAAGAGGGAGATGCAACATTGGTTGGAGAAGGAGGTGGAGTTGTACTTCTTCATCACCAAAGTATGGAATAAAATCATATGAAGTTTCTTCTTGAGCTTCCCAATCCCATGCCAATTCTTCATCAAATTCAACATTACGACTTACCACCACCTTACCGCTGCTTGGGTTGTATAACTTGTAGCCTTTTGAACTCATATCATAGCCAACAAACACATGCTTGACACTTCGATCGTCAAGCTTCGCTCTCCCTTGATGTGGCACATGAGCATAGGCTATGCTCCCAAAGATTCTCAAGTGCTTGAAACTTGGTTTTCTTCCACTCCATGCTTCTTGAGGGGTTTGATCTCTAACATTTCTTGTTGGAGACCTGTTGTTCAAATAAACTGCACAAGAAACAGCTTCGGCCCAAAATTCCTTCGGCATACTTTTAGCTTTCAACATACATCTAGCCATATTAAGAATCGTTCGATTCTTTCTCTCTGCAACACCATTTTGTTGGGGTGAATAAGGTACTGTTAGAGGGCGATGAATTCCATGAGATGGACAGAAGTCATTAAATTCGTTTGAAGTGAATTCGCCTCCTCTATCGGACCTTAGAGCTTTAATTTCATAGCCACTTTCTTTCTCCACAAGTACTCTAAAAATTTTAAAAGCAGCAAAAGCTTCAGATTTTTGGTTCAAGAAATAAACCCAAGTCTTTCTACTAAAGTCATCAATGAAAAGCAGAAAGTATCTACTTTTACCAAAAGAATGTGGATTGATTGGTCCACACACATCAGTGTGAATAAGCTGGAGCGGCTTAGTTGATCTTGACATGGCCACATTGGAAAACTCCTTCTTGCATGTTTTCCAAGAAGACAAGCTTCACACAGTTGATTTGGATGGTTGATTGATGGTATCCCATGTACCATGTTCTTTTCTCCCATTGATTTGAGCGCTTCAAAATTCAAGTGCCCAAATTGCATGTGCCAACACCATGATTCATCTTGCACATTAGCCTTCAAACACTTTGCATCAATTGTTTTAAGATTCAGAGAAAATAATCTATTATTTGCCATATGCACTGTAGCAATTAGAATTCCACTCGAATCTCTAAACGAAAGATGCATATTTTTCATGTGGATGTCATAATCCTTTTCAAGAAGTTTGCCCAAACTCAAAATATTACTTTTTAATTTTGGCACATAATAAACATCTTGAATTAGCTTGTGACTATCATCTTTACAAGAGATCAGAATCGTACATATCCCTTCGATTTGAATCTTTGAGGTATCTCCAAAGGACATATTACCTCTCACCGTTTTATTGATCTCCACAAACTTTTCTTTGCATCCAC